TTGGATAATGAGTTCATAGTCCTGTTTTTTGCGCATTTTATAGCGGGTTACTATATTTCTGGTTTAAGCACAGTCGTGGATTTTTTTTAGACCGATTTTTTATGATTAAAAAAATCCACGTTTGGCAAGCAAAATTTTTTAAATATTGGATAATGAGTTCATAGTCCTGTTTTTGGCGCATTTTATAGCAGGTTTCTATATTTCTGGTTTTAGCACAGTCGTGGATTTTTTAGACCTTTTGTTTCGGATTAAAAAAATCCACGTATGGCAATCAATATTTTATAAATATTTAATATTGAGTTCATAGTCCTGTTTTTGGCGAATTTTATAGCGGGTTACTATGTTTCTGGTTTAAGCACAGTCGTGGATTTTTTTAAACCTATTCATTGGGATTATAAATCCACGTTTGGCAATCAAAATTTTTTAAATATTGGTTTATGAGTTCATAGTCCTGTTTTTGGCGCATTATATAGCGGGTTACTATATTTCTGGTTTAAGCACAGTCGTGGATTTTTTTAGACCTATTCTTTAGGATTAAAAAATCCACGTTTGGCAATCAAAATTTTTTAAATATTCAATAATGAGTTCATAGTCCTGTTTTTGGCGCATTTTATAGCGGGTTACTATGTTTCTGCTTTAAGCACAGTCGTGGATTATTTTAGACCTATTCTTTAGGATTAAAAAAATCCACGTTTAGTAACCAAATTTTTTAAATATTGGATATTGAGTTCATAGTTCTGTTTTTAGCGCATTTTATACAGTTAACTATATTTCTGGTTTAAGCAAAGTCGTGGAATTTTTAGACCAATAAAATAGGATTAAAAAAATCCACGTATGGCAATCAAAATTTTTTAAATATTCAATAATGAGTTCATAGTCCTGTTTGTGGCGAATTTTATAGCGGGGTACTATGTTTCTGGTTTAAGCATAGTCGTGGATTTTTTTTAGACCTATTGATTAGGATTAAAAAAATCCACGTTTTGCAATCAAAATTTTTTTAAATTGGATATTGTGTTCATAGTCCTGTTTTTGGCGCATTTTATAGCGGGTTACTATATTTCTGGTTTAAGCACAGTCGTGGATTTTTTAGACCTATTGTTTAGGATTAAAAAAATCCACGTTTGGCAAGCAAAATTTTTAAATATTCAAAAGTGAATTCATAGTCCTGTTTTTGGCGCATTTTAAAGCGGGTTACTATATTTTTGGTTTAAGCACAGTCGTGGATTTTTTTAGACCTAATTTTTAGGATTAAAAAAATTCACTTTTGGCAATCAAAATATTTTAAATGTAGGATATTAAGATCAAAGTCCTGTTTTTGGCGAATTTTATAGCGGGGTACTATGTTTCTGGTTTAAGCACAGTCGTGGATTTTTTTAAACCTATTCATTGGGATTAAAAAAATCCACGTTTGGCAATCAAAATTTTTTAAATATTGGATAATGAGTTCATAGTCCTGTTTTTGGCGCATTTTATAGCAGGTTTCTATATTTCTGGTTTTAGCACAGTCGTGGATTTTTTAGACCTTTTGTTTCGGATTAAAAAAATCCACGTATGGCAATCAATATTTTATAAATATTTAATATTGAGTTCATAGTCCTGTTTTTGGCGCATTATATAGCGGGTTACTATATTTTTGGTTTAAGCACAGTCGTGGATTTTTTAGACCTATTGTTTAGGGTTAAAAAAATCCACGTTTGGCAAGCAAAATTTTTAAATATTCAAAAGTGAGTTCATAGTCCTGTTTTTGGCGCATTTTAAAGCGGGTTACTATATTTTTGGTTTAAGCACAGTCGTGGATTTTTTTAGACCTAATTTTTAGGATTAAAAAAATTCACTTTTGGCAATCAAAATATTTTAAATGTAGGATATTAAGTTCATAGTCCTGTTTTTTGCGCAATTTATAGCGGGTTACTATATTTCTGGTTTACGGACAGTCGTGGATTTTTTTAGACCTATTGTTTATGATTAAAAAAATCCACGTTTTGCAATCAAAATTTTTTAAATATTGGATAATTAGTTCATAGTCCTTTTTTTGGCGCATTTTATAGCAGGTCCCCCTCTGACTGCGCGCGCTCACTTGCTCAGTAAAATACGATTCCCCTCGCCGCTCGCTCGCTGGACCAGCGCTGGACAGATTACACTCTGGAGAGTTTCAACTTTGAATATTAGTTATATTTATTATATAATTTTAATTCATTTAATGGGAAACTCTCCAAAGGTGAAATTTTCCAAATTACATAGATGCCATGTGTTTGCTGTTAGACAGTTTCACTTCTGGAGAATAGCCAACGTTTGGCTATTTTAATATTTGAATCTCAGGAAATTTAATTGATAGTCCGTTTTTCTGCGACATTTATAGCGGTGCCTATATTTCTGGTTTAAAAGTAGTCGAGGATTTTTATAGACGACATTTGCTGGTATAAAAAATCCACGTTCGGCAATTTAAATTTTTAATCACAGGAATTGATGGTCCGTTTTTTTGCGACATTTATAGCGGTGACTATATTTCTGGTCTAAGAGTAGTCGAGGATTTTTATAGACTACATTTGCTTTATAAAAAAAAAAAAACACCAAAGAGGGCGGCACTCAGAAGTATCAGGCAGTCACTTACATACAAGCTTTCAGAACCCAAAGAAAAAGAAAAAATATCAAAACAACTTGGTTATTGTTATTTTTCGATTTGTTAGTGTTTTGTAATTGTAAAATTTTGTATGTAAAATTCTCATCTTTTCTCTCAAATAATAATTTGTATAATTTTGAATTTATGGGCAGTAGCTGTAATGCCATTATGATGGAACAATAAACACAATTTGCTTCAAAAAAGCATCATCTCTGAAAATTCAAATGATTTGCATTTGTTACAAATAAAGTTTTTGCGCACGACTCTATAAACTCTATAAATAAACATAATAAAAATTTTTACTTAGTTTTAATCAATTTATAATAATAAATAATTTAAATTAAATTTCTTACTAGTTATAATTTTTGTTATTGCCATCGTTACTCCCCAAAAACCAAACGCTATGTGGCGATAGCGCCAGCCATCCACGGCTGTAGCAGGATTACAGTGATTAATAGTAAAATCAGGTATATAATTTTTATAAGCTCGCAAGTCAAGATAGAGATACGATACAATACTGCAAAATCTAGGAGAATATACTGCTTTAGTCCTGTATTTCACTAAAAGTCATTCGTAGGCGTTAAAAGTCTGAATTTACTTCGTGCAGCAAGAGTGGTCTGAAAAATTCATAATTTTTGAAGGACCATTTTTATGTAAGCATTGATTTGATTTCCTGTGGTGAATTTTCTGTAAATACTTTTGAATTTGAAGAAAAATTTACTTTTGAAACTTGACTCGTGCATCATAGCATGTCAGGAAGCGCACGTTGGCGTTGTTAGATGTCACATCGTGAAGCACGTAGAAAACAGAGGGTCTCTTTTTCAATCCGGTAAATAACAGACATGAAGTCAAATTTTTTTCATATTAGCTGTGTTTTTAATGGAGTTTATAAAATATTTTACATGTGAATAAATTCTTATAAATAGCGATGAAGTTTTTTACGTGGATTTGGTTTGCATTATGATAAGAATATTCGTTTTTAAAAAGTTAATTCTCGTATCAGACTGCTATTGGAAGCCAGAAAAAATATTAGAACAGAATAAGTCTTTAAACGGTGTATATAATTAATACAAAACTCGGAAATTGAAACTTTTATATAATTCAATATTTGCCAAATTTTAGACATAAAGGCTACAAATGTTGCCTCTTATCATATTTTCAATAAGCTTGGATTTTTCTTCCAAACTATGAAGCTTATAAAACCCTTTTTAAATTGTTAGTATTTATATCTTCATGGTATTTTTAAATATCCTAATAATATCACATATCTTTTAATCCTTTTTTTGCGAGTCAAAATCAACTTAAAATTTATTTACTCTATGTACTTTAAATTACATACAGACAAATTTGTTTAGAATCTCTAATTTTAATAATGTGCAGAAAGTACTTCTGAAAGTCATAAAGCATTGGAGAACCACGTAGCCGACTTGATTGCTGAGAATCAAAAAAGCAACTGGAAAAAGTTAACTAAGAGCAAATCGCAATCGTCCAGTGCAGTTATCACCACCGGAAACCCAAGTTGGCCTTCTTGCATAAGAGAGTACATCAGAACATCATGGGTAAATTGTAAATTAATCTTATAAAATAATTACATATTTTGGAAGTTAAGTCACTGTCTTTCATCGACGTCTGCTTTTAACTTGAGGCGCAGCTTTTCAAAAACCTCCATTCATTTTTAGCAGATTTCAGATCATTGGAGATACCAAATAGGAGATGAAATAAATTATTCATTGGTGCTTGGTGACGATTAACTGCATTAACTGATTGATTGCTTGCTGGAGCATCATACAAATTTTTGTGATTGCAACAAAATCAAAACCTAAAAGAGGAAAAATCCTCAGAGCAGCATTATAAGTTCTCCAAATCGAAAGTTACATAGCATAGTTGTTTTGGTTTACTTTTAATACAGAGTGACAAACTTTCTGCTTTCTATGTTTGAACATTTCCTCTGTTAAAATATCATGGTTTCACCGTAGTCTCAAAATTAACTAAGTTGACGATCATTTTGATACGCCCGAGGACCATGATAGTTATTAAATTTATGCAAAAGATAATCTTGTCTAAAATTAAATCGATGACAAATTTCAGACTCGCAATAAATTTAAATCGATTACAAATTTCAGACTCGCAACGCAATCAGAAAGCGATGAATAAACTATACGCATTTTTCTAAATGGATAGTGAAAAATTATTTTAATTATCATCGTGCACTGCGCTCCTAACATTATTATTTTTGTTTGTGCTTCCAGACGCAAAAGGATGATGAAAACTATCCATAGTATTTAAATAAATTGTAGTTTGCGACTACGACGATCACATTTTTCGCAACGTAAAATATAAAAATTATTTCAAAAAATGGAAAACGTGCAATTTCACTTACCGTCAATTTGATCAACATGGTCAACCTGTAATTTTTTTATGTAAATTAATACCATATAATTTAATATAAATATACTAATAATAATGGAACTTATAAATTTTTGAATTATCTGAGAAATAATTTTAAAATTATGGTAATGAAATAGCACCGAAAAATACAAACCTCAAATCTTGTGGAGTTTCGACTTCCTGAGCGCTGGCAATTGCCGCCGACTCAAAAAATTCCAGGGTTAAAATTTAGACTGGTACACACGCACTGACTTCGGACAACTTTTAGGCTGAGGTTTCGCGTAAAATGTCCATAATCGACCAAAACAGCACTACTCACGTCGACCGACCGAGGAAAATGACGATGAACTGCATGAACAACACGTGGTGCGGGTATGAGCGGTGTTGACATTCTGAGGGCCAATCAGAGCGCAGCGTTTCCGAGTAGGCTGGAATTCAAACGTGTGGTGCGACGACCACGAGGCCACATAAAGGGGCCTGCGTAGGACTGTTTGGGACTAACAAAATCTTCGATCACGCAATGAAATTTTGCAAATTCTGACCTATTTTCCTAAATTTTGCAAAATATAATGCCGTATATTGCTACAGTACTGGATTATAAAAAAATATTATTATAAAGAAATAAATTATATAAATGCAAAATTTCGTTAAGTGATCGAGGATTTCAAGATCTCATTGAAAATCTTGGCTTGCGTCGGCAAATTTCACAAATTCAGGTGTGTTTATTCCAGAAATAATTACTGTGCATCCCGCTATAAATTCCGGAGTTTTGTAGAGTCGTTGCTTAAAAATTCTGATACAAAAAAATTTGTTCCAGAATTTGAAAATTTAATATTTAAAATTGAACTAAGTCAAAACCTGTATCCCTTCCTTTTATTATGGCTTGGCATTGCTATCAACGCTTAATTTCCTTTTGCTTGAGCATAATAAGGAGAATGAATCACTCGCTCGCGACCGAAGTGGCGAAAGTGTCGATCGTCAGTCGCTATAGAATTGAGCGGGGGTGTTCTGATAGTGGGCATCCACTTCCAGGAAGCGCTCGTCCAGAATTCACCAGCAAGATGAGGGTTGCAGCCGTGTTATCCGTCTTCGCTGCTCTCTTTGCCTCCTCCACAGCTCAAAGTATGTTTTTGTTTAATTTTTCACATTAATTTTAATAATTAATACCAAAATCCATTTATTTTTTTAATCAATATCCAGAATCCACAACGCAGACTCCGTGCGGACGCCTCAGCTTACCAAATGGCATTGTCAGAGTGAAGTTCAGAGGTGCCCAAGTTAACTTGAAATGCAACCCTTTTTATCATTTGCTGGGTCCCAAAGTAATATTATGCGTCAATAGAAAGTTTTTGCCAACCCTAACTGAGCCACCAATGTGTATCAGTGAGTTAAATATTTAGAAGATAAAATTATTAATTAAAAAAAAAATGTCCGTAGGGCCAGGTTGTCGATATCCTGATCCAATAGAGAACGGTTACATGAAAAGCGAACTGAGCGGCAGCAAATTACTTATTTTCTGCAACGAGGGTTTTGAAACGCACGAGTTTCCAATATTGGTGTGCAACGGCCTTAGGTGGAACTCCACCGTTCCACAATGCTATCGTAATGAATATTTCTTTGAAATTTTAGTTTCTGAAAAAAGTTTTTTTAATTTTTTTTTTATATTTTTAAAGCCAAAAATCCGTCTCTTCTTTGTGATCTCAACTCGGATGAACTTTGCGGTTGGGAACAGGGCGTCGAAGAGCCTGACGACTGGACACTTCAAAGCCAAGCCAATCCATTCCGGAAAGATGGCACGGGCCCTGCTGGCGATGACTCGGAAAGTGGAAAAGGTAAAATATAAAATTTTGATTGGTTTTGCTTAAAAATATCAATTTTTGAAGAATATTGTAAATAATATATAACAATATTTAGTAAGAAGATTGTTAAAAATTGAGAATGTGGGTAAAATAAAATTTTCAGGGAAATATTTGTATTTGGACAACAGCGTGTCATCCTCATTAGCGCGCATTTACTCTCCAGTTTACGCTCCGAGCACCGAAAACTGCCTTTCGTTTTCGTATCACATGTTTGGCAGCGACAAATTAGGTATTTTTACTTGTTAAACATGTGCACGAAAATAGAATCGAATAACATTTGCCACTCAGGTGCCATTCGCGTTTACGTCGTCAATGCAAGCAAAGAGGTTTTAAACTCAACCATAGCTGACGGCGCCGAACAGGGCGACCAAGGCGACGCGTGGCGCAAATTCTACCACTCATTCACCACCGAAAAATCTTTCCAGGTTCACGAAAAATTATAAAATGAATAAACATTCTAACATGAATATATTGCTTAATATTTATAATATCTATAATTCCTTTCAGTGGGTGATTGAAGCCGAAATACCAAGTGGTGACGTCAGTGTCATTGCAATTGACAATTTGCAACTGGAAAACTCTCCATGTCCAAATGCGCCGTTCAAGAGTAATATTTTTATTTAGAATTCATAAATAATAATTTTTTTATGTTATTGATAAGAAAAAATCATCTCTTGAAAATTGCCAATTGAGAATTAACAGTAATAATTTGATATTATCGTTTATTATTTTTTTTTATCTTGTTTCAGTCGTTTCATGACTTTTTAACCAACAATTGATTTTTAATGCGGTTAAAAAGAAATATCAATGCTTATTGCAGCGGATGAAGTAACTTTTTTCTCTGAAGTTTGAGCAAAATTTTTGCCACATACAAGCGCAAGTGCCTTTTTCCCCCAAAAGCTACTTTTTCTGTCTATATAATTTTTTTTATAATAATTTGAAAAATTAAATACAAAAATTTAAAATAAAAACCAATTAGAGAAATATTCAAATGAAATTTTTTGCAGATAGCACTTCCATTCCAAGCTGCAAATTCCGTTGTGTGACTGGAAGTGAGACCAATTTGGGTTCCGACGACTGTAGTTGCGCTTTAATGTGCGAAATAACAGGAAACTGCTGTTCTGATTTTAAGAAATATTGCCAAATCGAAACTCGTAAAGAATTAAAAATACTCAATATATATTTTCTTACTTAAATTAAAATTTAGCAACTACCGAGATGGATAATGAAGTCGTGCCAACCAGCACTTTGAAAACCACTTTGTCGACAACTCCAAGAGCCACATTAAAAACCGTCGCTACTTCTCCCAGCACGGTAGTGACCACCCAAAAAACAAGGGCAACGACCTCAACCACCACGCGCCCCACAACCACCTCAACGCCCAGCACTACAAGGATTACTACTTCTACCACCGCTAAGAAAACCACCCTCACTGCCAGGACCAACCCTCCCAGACTCAAAACCACCCCTGGTTTGGTTACAACCCTCAAGGCGCTGACCACGACCGTTAAAGTCACTTCGCAGACAACCAGTCTTTCCAGCACCACGCTCAAAGTAGTCCAAATTACTGTGCCTCAGGAATCCCCAGGTGATTTTTTTTTATTCAAAATTTTTTTATCTTTCATACAAAAATTAAAAAAATTGTAATTTTCAATTTAAGTAAAAGAGATTTCTTATTATGAAATTTAAAATTAAAAATTCTAGGAGGTTATGATTATCAAACTGGACCCTCTTCTGGGTCGATGTTGGTCACCCTTCTCGCGTGCATTGTTGGAGTGTCCGTTGTGCTGGTCGTAGTCGGGTTGATTGCCAGTTTGATGCGGAGACGAATGCTGCGGACGGGAGGCAACTCGGCCGACCAGGAGGTGGTGTTTCTGACGCAGGACGCTGACGAGCCGCACCTCGACTTCAACCTGGCCACCCCGGACAACGTCAAAACCTTCACAGACCATCAAAGGCTGTGAAAAAAGATCGACCTCATAACAGCACATTCTGAAATAAATCTCTGCACCATTTTTGGCTGTGTATAATAAAACATTAATTTGCCACATTTTCAAATTCCATATTTCATTTGTATTAAAAATGGTGCAGAAATTCAAGGACTTACAATTAGATTAGGCAAAAAGTAGAACTAATTGTGCTTTTTATAAGCTACTTTTTATTAAATTGAAGAAAAAATTTGAAATAAATATAATTTTTTTATGCTATTTAAAAATTTAATTGTTGCATTTTTTTTTTAAATAATTTCCTTGAATTCATCTTCTACAAAAAGATAATTATTTTCACTTATATTCCTCAAATCATCTAATTAAAAATATTTTAACATAAATTCATTTCAATAACTTGGGGTGGTGGATTTAAAAGAGAAGCAGGATAATTTTGTTTTTCAGGTGCTCACCGCACTTTAATTATGTAATTATACTCATAGTTTTCACAAATTTCTGCTTTCAAATAAGAGTTGCATCTTACACTTTAAGGATATACAGCTGGGCTTACAACTGTTGTCAAACTTGCTTTCTGGATGCTTTTTTGTCGAGTGAAAACGTTTCACTGCAAAACGGTTCTTTTTTTAAACTAACTGCGATTAAAATTTTAAATGCACTTTCTTCGCGTTTACAGTAATTGCGTACTTTTGTGTTTCGCATGCTTCGCAAGACGCAATCGATATATAACTCTGTCTGTGTGTGCTTTTAAAAATAGCAGCGCATCAAATTTCAACTCATTTTGGTTAAAAAGTTGTCACATCTCATGTACATTTTATTATAATGGTCTCTCTCTCGTATCGGTTGTTTGTGTTTGTAGTGTGTGTGTGCGATGATATTGTAATATTTTGTAATAAAAAAAAAAAAAAAATGTGAACGTTTTAATCCAAAAAAGCCATCCGCAAAAGAGACGTGTGGGAGGGGAAATATCACATAAAATTATGGACAGTTAACAAAAATCTTCTAATCTTATTCAGAGCGCACTTAAAATTAAGAAAGGCTAAACGGGGGTTTCTTTACACAATTTTCGCTTTTTAATTATAATAATTACTACGCGTAACAAGTCGTTGACAGAGTTAGAAAAGTTGCGGTTTCAGAATTCGGACAAACCAAAAAAATTCATGATTTTCTCTCTCATAAATTGGTAATTGCGTTAATTATTTCATTTACATGTTAAGTACTTCAGTCCTCAATTATCGATTTGAGCGAAAATGGCACTGAAAGGATCTTGGTCATCCAAGTGAATGTGGTTGTGTGTGCTTTGTGTGCAGGGCGTGTGAAAAGGTGATTCAAGCAATTTGCTATATATTTCGTTCAACGGCAAAGGAAACGGGGGTGAAATTGACGCGCAGCTTCTCCTTTAATTAATCAGCATAGTAATTAATAAGATCACCTAACTTTGCAAAATTGATATTCAGTGAGTATTGCCACAACTTTGCATTCGTCGCTCGCTCGCTCTTTCTTTCTTTTACTCTTACTAACAATTAGTTAATCAGGTGAATCAATCTTCAAAGTTTTCACCAGGGACTTTTGAGATTTCAACCTTCTTCGTTTTTGTTACACATTAAGGCAGTGCTAATTTCTTTTCCCTTAATAAACGTCCGTACCAAAGTACGAAACCCGGAAAAGACAACCATGGCGCTTGTAGCTCGAATTTAACCAATTATCAATATTTTTTTCTTTCTGATTTTTTACAATCTTAGCGCGGCTGGAGACTTTTCCGTACGAAAACACACAATTCCTGACAAGAGGACTGCCTGAAATCGGCCAACGATCCAGATCTGATTGAAATCAATTTACAAGAAGCCTATCTTGGCCAGTTGTCGTTGTGACCGAAGAAAATCAGTGCGAACAAAAACAAGAAACAAGAGCGGACTCGTTGATAATTATTTTAATTTCTGATCCGAGATCACAAAGTTTATAATGCAAACTTGAAATATTCTATTACACAAAATTTTAATTTTAATTAGAAACAAAAAGTGCCTCGAGACTGAGGACTCAAAATTTCCCAAATAAACTAATTTTATGGCCACTTTTCACAATTCTCAGTAGGCCGTATCAATCAAAAAATTTCATACGCAACGGCCTGTTGAAACAAGTCAGCAGTGCGTTTTCAAAGCCTCATAACTCAGGGTTTCAACGGAAAGGCCGAAATCAGGCATGCAAGAAAGTGACTTGATCGAGCTCTTTCTTCATTAGGCCTACACTGCTTCGTTCGTTTAAATATTTAATCATAATGAGATCTCGATGACCATCAAGACAAGGTTCAATCCATCAATTCAATCAATAGTTACTTATTAGTAGTTAACAAATCGATCAGATTCCGATAAATTTTGTGGTCCAAATTTTCATCAAATACAAAATTTTGCATTTTTCTTTTCACACGTTCGTGTTTGATACAGTAACTCGAAAAAAAGTCAGTGGTGCTAAACGCTATTTGGCCAATCAGATTATGGTACACATTCAGGGCTTGATAAATTTACATAACAACACAGCGGCATTCCTTCCTTTTTGAAGTCCATGATTTTCTAAAAAGAACAGCGCGGTTTCTCTTTTCGTCCTCCGAGTGGCAATCCGCCTGATTGGTTCTTTGACAAATTTAACTACAAGTTTTATACACGTCATCTCTCTTTCTAGAATGTCTAATTGCACAAAGAGTCATTTCCAAACAATTACACGACACAAAATTGGCTGAGAAGTAGCGGAGAATTCAGATGGAGCAGAAGCGGAACGTGATCCACGGCCTTAATTGTCTCTAGGGGCGGGATTTATACTTGTGCCTCTTATGTGATACATTTAAAAGAAAAAATAGTTTAAACTGTAATTAAATAAGTAATTGGCAAACTAAAAACTTCTTTCTATTGCTTAAAAATTCAAAACCGTAATTTTGGTCAATGTTTTATTTTTAAAACTTAGTCAGAATGATAATTATAATTTAAATAAGCTTCGATAAAAACGGAACAACTATTGCAGTAGTTATACTTTACAATTAAAAAATATTTCATTTCTTTAAAACAGAGTGAAGACTCCTGGAGTCAAAGCATTAATTTTAGTTTCAAAATTGAAAGAAAATGCAAAGTCATTTGCGCTTCAAGTGTACAACACTTCATGCTTGGTAGATAATTTCTCAAGCCAGAGTCATAATCGGAATTCTTTAGTAAAATGTCTGTAAAAAAAATTCCATTTTGCATTGCAAAAAAGTGGCAATGAATTGTGTGACTGAAAGAAAATCAGGTTTCCGTACCAATTCAAAATTAGTTTGAACAAACAATAAAAAATTTCAAAATGAGAAATATTGACTGCATGATCAATTTTTGTCCAAATCTAATTTTCTAAAAAATCTCTTAATCTTCCAGAACTGAAATCTACTAAAATCGCTTAGTTTTTCTACAATGAAATAAAAAGTTTAATGCATTAAAAAAGCGTTTGATAAAATTGACCAAAAATCAGGGTGAAAAGCCAGACTGGGGGTTTGGGGGAGGCACAGCCGTTCTCAATTCTCAGCTCGGAGAGGGTGGGTGGGGGTGGGGGGCGCGTGGGGTCACTTCCGGCGGCGGCAGTAGGGCGCGCAGGCGGCGGCGCCGCACTCCCCGCACGCCCTGAGGCGCGGCCTCAGCCGCACGGCCCAGTCCAATTTTGTGCTCAGCCGCAGCTACGAGACGCTGCCAATTTGCGGCAGTTTGGTCGTCCGCTGCGTCTGCTCGCCCTCGGACAGCTGCACGCGCAGCTTGGCCTGCTGCTTGGCGCCGCTCGAGTTGCGCGAAGAGGCCGGCGAGGCGTCGGCGCCACTGGTGGCGCCGTTGGCCGCCAGCGGGTCGGCCGGTGGCCGCGGCAATCGCCGCCGCAGCCACGCGTGGCGCAGCGCCGTCGCAGGGGTCATCCGCTTCTCGGGGTCCCACTCGAGACACTTGGCGATGAAGTCGAGGAAGAGCGGGTCGTCACAGCCTTTGAGCGCGCGCTGCAGGTCCTTCGAGCCTGGCGGGCCGCGGTGCTTCCCGCGCCGAGACAGTCCGCCGCTCAGCACGGTGCTTCCGTCCGCCATCGTCGTCGCCGTGCAGTAACGAGGGTAGCCCTGAAAGCGCACATGAATTAATTATTTTGAATTTCAAATATAAATTTCAAAATCGGGACAAGTTTGTCAAGTTTCAGTGTGTTTTAAAATTGATCTTTTAATTCTCAATTTTATTCTTTTCTTAATAGATTTCTACTTCCTTTTTCAGAAAATTTATTGACTCTACTGTACTAAAATTAAGCACACACAAAACTCATCTTGATCTTGATCAATGTTAGCACAAAAATGATTTAATTTAATTTTTCTTATTGATAACTATTATTGATTTTAATAAATCAGTGCTTAATTATAGGTGGAAAACTTCTCCCACTTTAAGAACTCCTTTTTGACACAGTCAAATCAATTGCACAACTCAAAATTTCTAATTAAGCCGATAATTGGCATAAATGGCTTCTATTTTTGTAAAGAATTGATTAACTATGCCAGTTAAGTTAAAATTTTTTGCTCATAAGGCTGATTTTAAATAGATGCATTCTGACATTATTAAATGATTAAAGCAAATTTCGAAATCTAAAAATTTTAAAAGCGAAAAAAAAATTCATAAATTTTATTCATTTCCTCTTTCATGCATTTTAAATCAAAATGACTCCACTTTTCCTCTCTTTCAGTAATATTAATTCATATTTCATTATTCTTATATCTCCATTTCACAATTTACTCATTATTATTATTTATTTTGTGGAATTAAGACAAAACTATATAATTTCTAATAAGAAATCTAATAATATTTTAAATATAAATTAACCCCTCTTTCTAATGCTAAACTCCATATTAATTTTTTCCAAGGCAAATTGGTCCAGAGAGGCTTTGATTTTTATTTCTCCTACTCTGTGCCAGCTCATGGTTTAGTGTCGCTGATAAAAGTTGCAGCAATCGTAAATGAAGTTTCACTGTTTGACTATCAAATTTTATGTTGATGATGATGGGAGCGTTCGTTCCACTGCTGACTTCTCGGAACGCGACCTCCCAGTTCTCGCATTACAGGCCTCGTGAAAAGGCCTAACTTGCGTCTTTTTCGACCTTCAATGCAACCAGCAACAATTGCGTGAAAAAAAAAAAAAATAAGTCTTGAATTTAATTTAAAAAAAAGTTTTTATAATAAAACAAAAAATCTCCAAAATTAAATTAAACAAATCTCAAGTTAATTTTTCATTTACAGTCGGGGCATTTTTAAATTCCAACCTTTGAGCTGATGAAGTTCTTGGCCCTCTTGGACTCGGCCAGCAGCTTGGTGGGCGGCATGCCGAGCACCTCAATGGTGCAGGCCAGCTGGTCGGCCTCGTCCTCGCCAGGCAGCAGTGGGAAGCCGGTCAACAGTTCGGCCAGGATGCAGCCCAGACTCCACATGTCGATGGGCATTCCGTACCTCGCGCCCAGGATCACCTCGGGCGCGCGGTAGAATCGCGACTGGATGTACGTGTAGACCCGCTGGTTCTCGTAGCAGCTGGAGCCAAAGTCAATCACCTGCAACACGAAGAAGACAACGGATTAGCAAAGAAAAAGTTAAAACGAAGAAAGTACAAATTTGACAATTGAGATTGAAAGTAAAATTGACATTAAAATTTAAATTTCTTTTAAAATTGTAATTTTTTTATATATTTGTTGTTCTGATTAAACTTATCATTCATTTTACAAAAACAATAATTTTTCTGCTTCTTGATTTGCACCGAAAAATGATAGCAAGATTTTTATAAATTTATAAGTTTCTTTAAATAAAAAAAAGGAATCATCATTTAAAAATAATAAACTGTAATAAATGGGAAAAATAGAGTAATTCACACTTTTAATATTTGGATTTTAAATATTGCACATTTCAGTTGCCACCTTGAAAAATAGTTAAGATCTCTTTGCAATATTTCTGCAATTGACAATATTTAAAACCGAGTCTGTGGCGAAATTCAGCCTTGTCGACTAGGCCGTTTACGATTTAACTGCTTCGCAAATTCATGCCCACGCGTGTGTTTGTTTTTTGTTTGCAAGACGTCTGTGCGAGATAACGAAACTCATTCACAATAATCTCGACTCATTCATTTCGCGTCAAATAATAAAAACGCGTCAATGTTGCGGTCTGCGAATGGGCGTAATAGAGAAGCGGCCTTGCGCTCTTTAACTTCCGGCCTAAATTGCGCACGGCCAGAAGAATTCACTTCCAGAAAAAAATTAAAAATGCTTTTACTAAAAGGAAAAACCTACTCTTCCAGTTGTTATCTTATCGGTCGATATTTTACTGTGAAAGCTTCGACAAACAAATTGCAGTGGGGGTGCAAAAGTGGAGCAAACGAATAGACTTGACACTAATTTCGGTTTTATCGCAGGATATTCCTCTCAATTGCGTTAGTCTGTATAATTTTTTTTCACTTAATTAAAAAGCAAACAGCAGCAGTTATTGCGGCAGTAAATTTCGACTGCGCCAACAGAGTGTCGCAGCGGAAAAAGACCCTTGGCACTGGAAAGCGAAAATAATTGGAAAAGAAAAAATCTTTTGGCAATCAGCTAAATGATTTCAATCCAATCTGCAACGTTTCCTTTTTTTAATCCGACGAAAATTGCAGTTTTTTTTTAGTAAATTGTGTTGGAAATTGGTGGGTTTTGTGTTGCAGAGCAGTATATATTTAATTGGCGTCGGCGCGATATGCCGGCTGCCTGTGTTGCCGAGGACAGTGACCGCTGGAGCAATCCAAGCACGGAGAACAGCAGGCACCGCTGCCAACGGCTGATGCTCTCAAGGGCATTTTTAATTAATGCAATTACCATTAAGCATACTCTCAAAACGGCGGCCGACGACAATTGATTTTGAATCGCAACATCCATTGTGCGTTTTCTGTTGTTCGGAAATTGCTGCGGCATTTCAACAGTGTCAACTTGTAATAATGCATAAATGCAAAAAAATTTTATTTCACATAAACATTCCTATAATTTTAATAATTGGAAAAAATAATTAAATAATAGTTTTTAATATCTAGATTGCTTTAATGAATCCTCATTGTCAAATCAAGCCTTTACAACAGTGGTAGTTTGAATTTCCAATCGTTTGTCATTTGTCATAAATGGCTCCTATTGTGGTGAAGACTCGATTTGACTCTGCTAATGAGGAGTCCTTCATTTAAATTTTAATTAATTATTGTATCCATTAATTTTATTTTAATATTTATTTCCAATTTTAAATTTGTTCAGATTGTTTAATAACTGTTTATATGGAATTTTAATTTACATTTGATTAAATATAGAATAATTATAATTTGTTAAAAATTATTTTTAAATTCATAATTTAACAATTTGAAATTTTGATTTAATTCTATTTTTCTACATTCATCGGTAGAAGCTATTTTAGGAGAAGAATAATTAGCAAAATTAACCAAAACCATGGATTTATACTAGTAAAAATATTTTAAATTGTTTTATATTTTTAGTTCCAATTTATAAATAATTATATATTTTTTAATTTCTTGCATTTTTCAATCCGATTTTATACTGTCCAGTTTTATCCTTGAAATTTAATGTCGGCGACGAATTTTAAATTTAGGGTCCGGCCATTTGAATATCCCCAACAACAATATGCCGCTGCGATCGTCGATCGCTCGGCACGCAAAGGAGCAGCCCAACGGAAATGGCTCTCGGGTCTGACTGACAAAGACCTTGCCAATTTATGCGAGACACTTCCTTGTTCCAAGCGTTGGAGGGAACAATGTGCTGCGGTCGCGAGATGAGCGAGCGCCACTCGGTTTTTCTTCAAGACCAGACACTTTCCAGCAATACTATCGTTCAATGCTGAAATCATGCCCCCGCACCGAGTATTATAAAATGTGTGTAAAAAACGGGCGAAGGCTATAACTACTCGTTTCCGAAGGTAGCAAGCACGCAGTTTTGCCAGCCGAGTGAGACAATTGCTCTGGGGCAAAATTTTACATTCGTTTCGGTTCCGAACAATAAAATTTAATTTGCCTCTTCATTGAAATAAAAAAATCATGTTTTCTTCAATATTAATTTTTTTTCATAAATAATGTTAATTAATTAATTAATTACTTCTCTTTAGATTTTTTATTATAAATTTTTATTATTCTCGGTTATTATTATTATTATTAGTAATTAAAAAAAACTTTGTTTGATTTTAGATTATTTGCTCATTTTTTTTCACCACAGAATTAAAAATGCAAATTCTCGTTAAACAAACTTCTAATATTTAACTCCCAACGCACAAGATTGTATTAAACACGAACGTCATAAAGCCCATTCGAGTCCTTGAACCATACGATTATTTGACTTTAATTGCCCTCGAGTTGAGGTACGAGTTTGCTCAAGGGCCATGCCAGCAAAAAGTTTTGCCTAAATCATTACGAATTTATTCTCTCTTCCGGTATTTTTATTTTCAAACATATTCACTGGTAATCCCTTCTTGGCGGATTCATAATTTTTTTTGCGTCAGCTGGCGGTTAGTCAACGCGGCCTGGATTCGCCATCCTTCCTGATTGCCAGCGTGATTAATCATTATTTATTTATTTTCACATGCACTCTCCTTTTTTCTCTCCACTTTGCTGCACAGTGCGTGAATCAGCAAACAGTGGAACAACCGTTCATGCCGAGCAACCGAGAGAATTATCATTTCGAAAGACGGAGAGAAAGAAAATATCGAGAAACGGCGCTCTTTCCAGAGATAATTTATTTATAATCGGTAATTGCATTATTAATAACTGCGAGCTAGTAAGTCAGGTAGCTGGTTTTCAACTGCAAAGGAAATAAATCCATCAATCAATCAGCGTAGTGACTTGTGCGAGGAGCAAAATGTTAAGTTTCAAACTGCAGTTTACATTGACATTGAAACACTTTTTTTCAAATCAATGAGATAATTGTTTTACGACTAAATTGCTTATTTTTAATGAGCAGAATTAACGTATCAAATTAAAATTGGTTCGAAAATCTTTCAATAGTTAAAATAACATTATGCATTTCATTTTAAGTTCCACGGTTTTATATATAGAGTATTTATTGAACACAACTAGGTGTACAACGGGTGTCTAAAGCTAATTTGTCTTCCTAAAATTAATTTTACAATTAAGCTTGTTTCGATAATTATTACAAAGTACAAAATTAGTTAATTTTGATTTTTGCAGCCTCTCTTAGGCTTAGTTTACGTTCATTACATTCAAGAATATGATATTGTGAACATTTCTTACCGCAGTGCTTGCATTCACAATCTATTGTCGCTTGAGAATGAAAATTTTTATTCTTACAAAATAAATAGTGGTACCCGTGACAGGCAAATCTCGTAAACACTTGGCGATCACTGAACATTGCACATTGCCAATTTTTATTCTTCATAGTTTCTGTCTCGTAGAACTCATCACATATCTCAAGTTTGTTTAAATATTTAGACATACAAAATTTCTGGAATGCTTCAGTTTCAGTTAGAGAATATTTTACCTGTAAGTCCGATACAAAGAGATCAGTGTCAACTAATTCATACACAAATCTAGATCTAATATACTTGGACAGTCCTAAAACTCTTTTTAAATATCTTGTTTTGACTTTTTCAAGATTTTCAAAATCAGTCTTTGTTAGGAAAGGCCATATTTCTTCAATGCCGTAGGACGCAATTGGGGAAATTTTTAGATCAAATAGCTTGTGTGCTGTTTCAATGGATAATTGTTTTAGTTCTCGTATATTATAAGTGGCCAGCAATGCAGCTCTTGTTCTTTTTTTTTTTTTTTTTTTTTTTTTTTTTTTTTTTTGTTCTTTTTTTTTTTTTTTTTTTTTTTTATACAATGTTTTTATACAATGATTTTTACACTTTAAATGAGTCTTGCAGGGGAATTTTTTTTGTGCTTCAAATTTCCCCAAAACAAAACAATTTTCTAAAAGATGATGGGATTTTAAATCTCGGATTTTGGTAGTAAGTTCATGGATGAAATTTGATTTAAGGATATTACATTGAACCCTAGTTAGGACAAAATTAGAAAAAAAGTGATGGATAAATAACCAACAATCATCAAATAGTCAAATTATTTAATTAACTTTTGGACTGAACTTAATAACAACACAAATATGTGGACACAGAAACGTATATTGTCCTTTTAGAGGTACATTGAAGATGATTAGAGGTCACGTTATTACAGGTCACATAGAAAACTCTCGGTCGCCTCATGATAGGCCAGTTTTTGAGATATTATGTAAATTGGATGCTTTTCAAAACAGTATTTATCAACCAATGTGATTTTTCGTAAAATGAAACGGATTTTTATAATGAATACATAACAATTCTATTGGGGAAATCAGTATTTTTATTTTTAATTTATTCTTTTTTCAATTATTGGTTTTTGGGTGATTTCAAGTTTGAAATTTGTAATTCAACACGTGCTAACTATTGTCATCTTGTGTATTATTGAGTGACACTTGAGGGCGTGACGTGCGACTTCCTGCTCAAAGTGCCACATAAAATCCTGCGACGTGCGCTATTAATAGTTCCATAT